CTCGCAGACGCAAACACATGCCATGGATGTGGGGATGCAGGCGGTGGACGCGGCACCGCCGGTGAACGTGGGGAAGCCGGAAGCGTATGTGGTGACGCTGTCCGACAACGGCGCAGAGAACGCGGCCACGTATGCAGTGACGTTGCCTGCCGTTGGTGGACACAAAGAAGCAGGGCACAACCCCTTACCTCTGTCCACCATGCTCCTGACCGTTCCGGTGGCGCTACCTCCACCACCTTTCTCCCCGCATCTATCTCATCGAAGGCAGACAAGGGTGCTTGATACGAGAAGATTGAGATCGATTTGGATTTCTCGTATAGAAGAAAGAAGCGCGTGCACCTTTTTCCCTTTGATTTGGAGATGTGTTCTTTTTGCGAGGAAAGGGAGGCGATGCGCCCGTGGTGTTGCGGAAGGTTATTTTGGTCGAGAGAAGTGTCTAGGGAGTAATACACACCACAAACTGGAATATTCCTAAAAAACTTGTACGCACTAGATATTGGAATGGAGGGAGTAGTTTCCTCTCTTGTCTCTATACCTTGTTACCCTTTGCTACCACCAACAACTTCTCCCCGCAGGAAGCTCTCCGGTCCTACAACCCCTCTAGGTCACGGAATAGCCCTACGAAGCAAGGGCTCTTCCAATTTGGTATAAGCCTTCATGTCTGGTCGTGGGGAAAAGGCCCACGACCAACAAGTGAACCAAGACGTTTCGCTCGAAGCTGTTGCACCTTGGGCGCAAGCTCTTGCAACCATCTAGCAGCACGAGCGAGCACTTGTAGCCACCCGGGAGCAACTTCCCTACATGTTCACTCGGATGGTGAAGTACGAGATCCGGCCTTCCCCAACACTATACAACACGCTAGCCTCGCAGCCACGGGCATCATGGGCCAAGCCTGTAACACCTCCTCCACCTCTTGAATGGCCTGCCACCTAGATCAGCCACCTAGATCAGATGCTTTTCCTACGCCACCAACCATTACCATTTGCTACCCCCACACTTACCCACCACCAATTATAACGCCCGTTGCTCAATTCATTACCACACCTTACCCACATGTCGAACCTGCCTCTATTTTGGTGCTGGCCAAGTTTGCTATATTGGAGTTTCCCCCGTTTGATGGCAAAGAAGATCCTCTCGTTTGGCTGATTCAATGTGATGTGGCTTGCGTCCTTCCATGTGACATGTGATGCCCACCTTTGGTACTACTAGTACACGGAAGCGAAGGATGGCCTCCATGGGACTTGTTCAAGAAGCTCTGCACCACAAAATTTGGTCCACCCTAACAACAAGCTGGGTGCGGTCTCTTGTTGCCCGTTCAACCAGTCAGTCATCTGCTACAACTAATGCTTCTCCCACCTTCCGCACTCCGTCGCCTCCACAACTGGATGGAACTGGAGTTGAGTTGTTCATGATGGGGGCGCGAGCCCATACGCACCTACTTGGAACACTCCTATCCAACTGTTCTGGATGAGGCGATCAGCCTCACACTTGCTTAGTGCTTGCTTATGAGCGCACTCACCCTACGGCTACCCTTACCCCTCAAGCTTGCTCTTCCTGCAGAGCATGCACATGCCCGTATGCACCCCATGGCCAAGTCAGGTCTAGGGGTACCTAGCAACTTCTACGACACCTACCATGACATCTTCATCTTTTGACTGAATTCGTCCATAGAGATTGCCGAACGCCGCAAGCAAGACCTTTGTTTCAGTTGCGATGACTAGTTTGCGCCTGGTCATCGTTGTGCTCACTGATCAACTCTTTAGTATTGAGGTCTTCGACTTGTATGCTGACACCAATGACTTTATCGAGGAGTATGTTGAAGAGTTCCATGTGTCTGGCCACACATGTCAAGGCACTTACAGGTTTATGGAGCATTCACGCGACCAACACCATCAATATCACCTTTTAAGAGCTTAAAGCGTAAGGCGAGGCGACGCCTTAGACACACACTTCCATTAGGAGATTTAACAGCTAGCATTATAAAAAATGTACATTGGAGTAAAACTTTCCTTCGGCCATAACCCATACTTCCAAGCTGGATCGTTGGATGTAGCTCTTCTCCTAGGGTCATTGAACAGATCATGATCTGTACCAGCCACAAGATCCATCACAGCAGTCACACTTGGCTAAAGCAGCAACACCAAGAGAAGGGCCATCAGCCGCGAGAGGAAAGAAAAGAGCCAGTCAGCCGAGCAACCAGATCAAACATGGGACGGAGAGAAGTGATGGTGGGGTTACGGCCTTGTGGGTGGAGAAGCAGATTGGTGAGGAAACATGCCGAGGAGGAGCCAGCAGATGCAGATGAGAAAAGCAAAGGTGGGGAAGAAAAGGCGGGCAGAAGTGAGAGAGAGAGAGGACAAGAGAGAAGCCACACCTTGTAGTTGCTGGGGGAGTGCTCCATGCCTACGCCAGAGATGATGGGGAGACTGGTGAGCAGGCCGTCGGATCTTCACTCTTTATTCGTCTGCCGCTGCCAAGATCCATGGAGAGAGCCATCCCTCCCAAGCGTAAACTGTACACTGGTTTTATTCTCTCCCTTCTCTCTTACCGTTTTGCGCGTGAGACATCTGTTTCCCCCGCGAGACATTTGCTCCCGCTTGGAGCTCTGCTCACCCTGCCCGAGAAGCCCCCACGACGTTTGATTTGGTCCAAAGCGTTGCCTTGCGCACCTAGTCCGACGCTCGAGATGCCTCAATGCTTAAGGTGCCTTTGGAAGTTGTCAAAGGCGAGTCTGACGATGGCAGGGCACCTTGACGCCAAATCATCTTCGCCTAAGCGACGCCTTATTAACAATGGACACCGCACAATTGGACGTGTCTATCGGGAAATCTACTTACACTACACTTATGGACGTGGGATCAACACAATTTCTTTGACGAAGGTACCTTGGCACGAGTAAGCTTATCCGCTATTGCTCTGCCCAGTTTTAGGGTAATGTGGCCAACAATTACCAGGTGGCTAGTAAAGGTGTTCACCGTGCGGCAAGGTTTTTAAGGTGTCGGTATATCGTCGCTATAGCGACGATATAACGTTGTGGCATGGTCCCAGCCCATGGCGTCCAGGCTCGCAATATGTTTGGCCTGTGGCGGGAGAGAGATGGAGAGAGGCGGCCATGGCGGGGAAAATTAGCCGCGTACCTCGTCCTCTCCGGCGGCTGAGGACGGAGAGCCGAGGAGTGTGGTGGATGAGGTGTGACAGGGAGAGGGAGGAGAGGAGCAGCACGACGTGGGGAGGTGGGGGAGCGCCGGCCAGCCATGGTCGAGGTGGTCGGTGTCGCCGGTGTAGAGGGAGGGTGTGCAGGCCGGCTGGATCGAGTGGCGGAGGGACGTCTGGGTCTGGATCGTGAGGAGAGGGAGATATTTGGGGTGGGGGAGAGAGATCGACAAGATGCAGGGGGTGGCGGCGCGGTGCTAGGTCAGGGCCTTTCCCTGGCTCGATATGAGCCCAAAGGGCTGAAACATATACTGCTAGGGAAATAAGCATGATGTCCCTTATACAACGGGGTATATACACAGTGCACTATATACATCTAGTAGTAGTGTACAACTTATATAGATTGCAGATTTAGATTATGCTTATGAAGCTGTGATTTAATTTGCTATCATTCGCCATAAGGTTGTGTCTATGATGTCGCCACACCATACGCCATAAGCGCTATAATGTTGTGAAGGGGGTCGGTCGCCATAAAACGTGTTACGCCATAAAAACATTGCCAGGCGGGGCCCCTACTCATGGGGATCAACAATTGATGGCAGATTGCTTTGCAATTCTGTTAGGTGGCTTTGACATCGATCTTGGTGTTGGTTGGTTGCTAAACTTAGACCAAAATTATAGGACTTTGATAACATTGCAGGGTCCATCAATTGCGGAGGTTTTCATGTGACATGGACAGGCTGGTCCATGCCACATTCTACGGCCACACACGCTTTGATGCGTGCTGAATTTGAGGATATTTTTCCCACACCCTCCTTCACATCACGACGCCCGAAGTTGATTTTTGCAGTGGCATTTTTTGATTTCGATGAGTTTGCAGTAGCTTTATCAAATTAACTCTCTATATATAGCTTTATTAATTCTAAATTGGTGGTTTGGAGAAAAGAAATTCAGTGCTGTTTAGATTATTATAGGTTACATGTTCGTGTTTGTAACTATTTGTATTTTTGTTACAGCCAAAGAGTTCGCCCGACAATTCATGATGTTATCACTTCAAAGATTAAATCATATGCTAGAGAGGCTTCAAAGTCCAACGTAGATAAAGTTGCAAAAAGAACGGCATCGGATGTGTCACATTCACATGGAGCTGTCACCTGTTACCAACTACCTAAACAGAAAAAGAAGAATGAGGCATCGACATTGGCAACACAACTTGTTGCTAGTCCCATCTCTCCAGTTATGGCACCCACAGGAGATGCTCAGCATGCAGCTAGTCAGCTTCTTGGTTCAATATTTGAGTGTCTAGTAGGCATACTTGGTAAGCGCTCAGCTCAGATTCTTGCACTTTCAAAGCTAAATCCCGTGATTATGTATGTATGAAAAAGTTCTTCACTTGGCAGAGAACCATATTACTGTTGGAGAGCTCCTTGAACAAAAATCATCAACTGACGTTGACAGTGTAAACACACCTCATGTGGCAAATGGGGACACAAGCTGGAATCCAGATTCTGAATACTCCCAACCTACTGGTGGTTTTAGTGTTGCATTCTCTCTGTCAGTTGTTCAGGTAGCCATAAATTTTCTGTTATATTAAATTATGATTTTTTGCTTCTGTCATCCATTTCTAGTATTTTCCATTTTTTCTCTATTTCAATGTAACGCCATGTGTTCCTTTCCTGCTGTGGAATACAAATAATATGCTTTATCCTTTGAAACGGTATTAAGAAATTGTATAACATGTGAATTTGTTATTTTTGTGGTGGACTATCACAGTCGTTCTCCCTTGTTCAGTGAAATGGGTAGTTGTACTACTGCAATACTCTTTCATGTTTTGGTGTCTTCTATTTCTCCTACCATCTTCCCCTTTTTTTGCTAGAGCGAGTGCCAGCAACTTCTGTGTGAAATTTTGCGGGCAACTCCAGAAGCTGCTACTGCAGATGCAGCTGTTCAGACAGCTAGGCTTGCAAATAAGGACCCAGTGAAGGAAAAGAGGCAAGTCTTCACCCATTGATGCCTACATAATGTTTTTCTATTTGTTTATTACATATACATATTCAGTTAAGCATTGTAATTAAGCCAGTAACTTGGCAATCCCTTGAACAATGGCCGACAATTCTATATTAGCTCAATGTCCGGTGCAACTGGAGTTACTCTCCATTTCCGTATACACGTAAATCCTTTGTCTTGCTTGGCACTAGTGGTTTTAGGGAAGGGATTTGGTGAACCCCTTATCCCCACCCAATCCCCTAGTACTTGTTTGTCTTGATGAAGTCAAGTATTAAAAATCATTTTTTATGGCTGCTGCCAGAGAGCTACTACAGCATAAACATGCTAACTACTACTCTAAGCACAAGCTAGCACAATAAAGATATAATCTTTACATGGCATATGGATAAATGTTCTAATGCAAATAGCACAAGATGGACTTGTCATTGGAGTTTGTAAATAGCACAAGATAAATCGGATCCAAAACAGTGCCCAATCACAGCCGAGCCCTATATCTAAGCCATTCATGTGTGTGGAGATGTGTGCTAGGCACTGTATAAGAGGTTTTATTGGTGATGTATATTTCTTTTCTGTTCTTTGAAAGTTACCATGCTGTGCAATGAAAAATTATTCCCACCTAAGCCCTCGAATGAAAACTTTCTTTTTTTAGGCTGCATATAAATTTTGTGTGAAGTCAAACTTGTAAAGTTTGACCAACTTCATAGTAAAAACATGAAATTAGGTTTTCATACTATATAACTTTAGTATTGTAGATGTTGATATTTTTAGAGAATGGTGTTTTGGAGGCCGAGCTCCATGGAGGCCTTTATTTTTGAAAAATTCAAATTGAAACTTTTATGTTTCAAAAAATTCTGAAAAACAATATGCATGTATGTAAGGTTGTATCCCACATGTGTGTAAAATTTCATGATGAAATATGTTGAAATGCGACCTGTACAAAAAAGACAAATTCATGGCCTGGGAGGATGAATAGTATCATGCGTTAAACAGCCCCAGATTTGTCTTTTTTGCACAGCCCTCATTTCAACGTGTTTTGCCCTGAAAATTTACACACATGTGTTATGCCTTCATGTATGTCTGTATTTTTTAGATTTTTTTGAAATGTGAAAATATGAATTTTGATGAAATTTGAATTTTGAATCTGGAGGCCTCCAGTGAGCTCAGTCACCAAAGGCAATTTCTGATATTTTTAAAAGTATAATTTTGGTCAAACTTTGTGTAGTTTGACTTCAAGCAAATCTTATATGTGGAGTAAAAAGAAACGGAGGGAGTATTTCTTTGACCTCTTAGGTTTGCTTCTCTTTTTACGTCTCTAATTGCTAAACTTTCTTACGTCAGGGATGGATCAGAAGGCCTTTCTTTTGCTTTTCGCGTTACAGATGCAGCAATCTCTGCGCAAAATGAAGGTATGTTCTAACCATATTAATATGTATCATACGGACTCGATGATGTTTCCATCATGCTACATGTCTTTTTCTATTATTTGTAGATGTTACTCTGCTTGCTTTTGCATTTTGGACATTGTTCATGCACGTTAGGTCGTCAGCTAATTACTGCGTTTGCATGGTTTTGCATTCTCTGTTCTATTGTATATGTGCCATGTAATGAGTATGTTCAATTCTGATCTATTTCGATCAATGTCATAGGTCAAGGATGGAGAAGAAACCCAGCTGTACCCCAAGAAGGGTATGGAACAGCAAGCATCATACCTGATCAAGGGATTTTCCTAGCTGCATCAGTTTACCGTCCTGTCTTTGAGGTAACCTGGCACATACTTCCCTTGTAACTCGTACGATCTTATGACGGTTTGATTACTTGGTTCATGATGATATTTATTCTATTTTGCAGTTTATGAATAAAATAGGATTGATGCTTCCTCGAAAGTACTCACAACTTGGGTAATGTGCTAAATTTAATTTTGATTCTGATTCATTTGTGAAATTGTGCACCTGTACTCCTACAGTTACTATTCAGTGTGTACCTTAATGCTGTCTAATAACTTGAGTTATATAGGTTCATTGATGATATGTGGTGTAATGTGTGTGTTTATCATCCCATGTTTCTGACGCCAGCCTTCTTTTTCCCCAGACAGTAGACTTAGTAGTATCTACTCCCTCCGTTCCTAAATATAACCTTTTAAGAGATTCCGCTATAGACTACATACGGAGCAAAATGAGTTAACTTATACTTTAAAAGACGTCTATATACATCCGAATGTAGTCTCTATAGTGGAATCTCTAAAAAGACTTATATTGAGGAATGGAGGGAGTATAAGTAGAGACGAACTTTATGATGTTATTTCTGAATGTTCCTTAGCTTGTATTTAAAGATGTCACAAGCTTAGGCCTTGCCTACCGAGTTATGTTGAAGTTCTTTCCGAGATAAGCTTGACAGATCCATTTGCACCACTAATTTCGAGGCAGCTTACTGTAGATCATCATGCTTGGTCATGCGAAGAAACTCCCCTAAAAGGAACCCTTATATGATTTGCTGGCGAATTTTCTCTCTCTATAAGGACCCGATTCGCCTGGCTTACTTGGCTTACCAGACTTGTCATGGGACAACACCATCTAAAAGAAGGCTCTATTGGACTTTGAGCAATTTATTTTCTTTCGTGATATAAAGAGTTTGTAGTTTGTACAAGCCCTAATAGGACCACACCCGAAGTTACAAGGCAACACAACTAAGAGGTAGGCGCTGCCATTTCTGGAAGCAAAGCCACCAAATCTCTCCTGCCTGCCATCGTCCATTGCGTAGTTTTGCCTTGATCGCTCAAGAAATTGAGATAGGTAGAGCTGAGCGTTGTCAAAGATTATTGCCTTCTGATGCTTCCAAATGCACCATGCCACCAACATGATGATCGAGGACATGCCTTTTCGTATCGGTGCAGGGATGGAGACAGTTCTGTCACCATTCCACGAAGACATCCCTGTAGCAGGGGGTGTGCCGTCGATCGGATCCATGAAAGCACCTCGTGCCATACCATGCGCGGGAAGTGATAACCAATGAGGTGGGCCATCGTCTCCTCCAATTGTTCACAGATCACGCATGAAGGTGTGTGCTGCAAGCCTCGACGCGCCAACCGCTTGGCATGCCAACAACTGTCCTGGGAAGCTAGCGAATGAAGAACTTGACTCATGGGAGAGATCAAGCCTTGCAGTTCAGCTTCCAACAATTTGCCTGATGGGGGAGTATCGTCGTACAACGCCAAAGGAGGGCATTGTCCGGGACACTCGACCCTTCCAGGCAGAGGGACCTACACGCCCTTATGCAGTTAATGTGGTAGTGGCTGCCATTTGCTGACGCCTTGCCGTCCTAGAGGAAGCCTCTCAATATCTTGTCAACATGAATCCGGGTCTTGTTCATCTCCAGCACAACTAGCCAGTGCAATGGTATGGCAGGCAGGTCCGACTTGACCAAAGTGAGGTGTCCCTCTTTCGTCATCATGGACACTCTCCAAGTGGGGAGACGATCAACGATTCCATGAACCAAGGGCTGCAGTGCCTTGCTTGAGGGCTTTCGGAGTAATGGGGAATCGACGTACTTGATCGGGAAGGGAGCTAACGAACACTCCATAACTGATGCAGCCTCTAGGGCCTCCCCCTCTGATCACCAATAGGGGACACCGGGCACATTGCGAAGTTGGTATGCGACCCCGATGCTCGCCCAAAGAGCGCAAGCAAGCTGCGCAGAGTGGACAACTCCTCCCTATCCCGGTGACAGAAGGTGACAACATCGTCTGCGTAAAGCGAGATGGTAGTCATTAGGCCGCCGGGCGCGAGGCAACGGAACTGTCCAAACTCTCTGGCCCTAGCGAACAACCTTTGTGCTCGCGTGCTACTAGAGGATAGGAGAATGACAATCCACTCATAGAAGAGAGGGCAAAATAGGGGTTGCCCCAATGAAGGTCGTAGTCGAGCTAGTTGAGGGCCTTGGGATTGAGTGGAGCCCCGTTGTGGGGTCATCGATCTAAGTAGGTGGATCTCTGCTGGGTTGCGCATTGTTGTCAAACTGGAGGGTTGGCCAATGGATGGTTCATAGACCGAGGCGTCTGTCCGCTCGACACCCAACGTCGAAGCCGCTGGACAATGGACTGTTGCAGACGTTCCAACATCTTGCGCGACTTTGAGTGGGCTAGCTGCGGCATCCTCCACATGCACCGATCGGTCAAGGGGAAGCGGAATAGGGAGATTGGGTCAAAGGGGGTCTCCAATGTAGATGGGGTGACCCCTGTTGCGCCATCAACATTGTAAGCCGCGTGATCGGATCCCTG